GAAGACATATGTTCAGAAGCTCCTGAATCCAATATCCAAGAGGTGATTTTGAAATTAGAAGATATAGAAGGTGAACCATTAAATGCTTTACATGCACAGTTGGCAACATTTGCAACAACATCTGAGTTAGAAGACACTGTCTGACCACCCTTCACCTGTTGAAGAAGTTGAACCAGCTGAGAAACTTGGCTTTGTGTGAGTTGTTGACTTCCATTGCTTCCATTAACAATGCTCTGCTCTCCTACTTCACTGTCAAAATATGCTGCATTGTTCTTAACAGGTGCCTGGAACTTCTTTGACCTTGTGAACTTGAAGTCTGCTGGAAATCCAATGATCCTGTAGCATTTATCCACTGAATGCCCATGTTTTTTACAGTAAGAGCAGCTCAAATTGTTCTTCTTTCCCTGGAAATCAGAATTTCCAAATTTCTGACTTGGATGACTTTGATTTGCAGCCATGAAGGATGAAGAATCTCCAGGGAATTGAGAGTTTACATAAACTTCCCTTTGCTTCTCATCTTGCATCAACAGGGAATATGCATGTCCCACAGTTGGAAGGGGTGACAACATCAAGATACTACTCTTCACTGAGGCATAGGTGTCATTCAACCCCATGAGAAACTTAATTAACCTCTCATCCTGGAGTGATTTGGACATTTTCATCTTACCTCCACAACTACATTCACATGAGCAGTTGACATGTGTATTCAAGGTATCTAGCTCATCCCATAGCCTCTTAATCTTAGTGAAATACCCTGCTATGTTGCTTGACCCCTGAACCAAATCACTCAACTCTTTCTGTAAATGATACATTTTTGCACCATTTGATTGACCAAATCTATCTTCCAAATCATCCCACAGATGTTTGGCTGTTTTGGAATAGATGACACTTTCACCAATCTCTCTGGAAAGGGAGTTCAACAACCAAGATATGACCATGTCATTACACCTATTCCATAACTTGAAGTCAGGTGTTTCTGAGCTTGGTGCAAGGCAGGTTCCATCTATGAACCCCACCTTGTTTTTGGCAGAAAGAGCAATGAGAATGGACCTGCGCCACCCTCCATAGCTTCTACCATCAAAGTTTGTGTTTACTAAGTTCATTCCGGGTGAATCTGAGGGGTGAAGGAAGTAAGGATGACTTGAGTCCTTCATTCCACCTCCATTATTTGCAGAGGTGGTGACATTTGCTGAACTGACCTCAGTTGTTTCAAGAATAGAACCCATTGAAGAACAAGATATTGAAGATAAGAATGAACAGAAAAAAAAAACTAAAGGATCGATACTTTAGAGCTACTGCTCTGATACCATGTAAGAATTTGAAAGACCAAAATTTAGGAGATTCCTTTTTTTCTGTATCTCAACCATTCTGAAACTTTGGTATTAATACCAACATAGCAACATGTCCACTACCTATTGTCTATTGAATACAAACAAATTAATGTACTATGTATAACTTTATACAATATTTATATACACAACTATGTCTTATTATATTTACATAATAGCATGCCTACTATCTAATGGTTTCCAGATGGGAACAACTATATTTTGTTTCCAATTTGACAGCTATTGGAAGACCAATCAGATGTTGGGCCTGGGTCCTCAATTGTTGGGCCATTTCCATGCTTCTGGACCATTTCCATGTTGGGCTGCACAGATGAGGTTCTAACACAAAAAGGCAAACAAATTAACCCAAGGTTCATGAAAACGGAACTGCATGCCTAACAACACAGAATTAGAAATAATTGGAAGATACTGAATTTAACAGCATTCCATCCTTTGCTTGAAGGAATATAGAGTCAGATTGATTGAAGATCACATTATAACCACTGCTAATATTCATATATTGAACGCGGTTGATCAATACGCAGCATTTGTTGCATCACATTGGAGCATGAACTCGAACCTTACACTCGATAAATTCGTGCCACCAAGCCTGGTTTCTTGATTAATTAAGTACTTGATAAATTAGTGCAAAATTGTATCGGTGGGCTCATCAAACTTTGGATCAATTAGGACTAGTCTTCCATCTTTGTAGAGCTGAACTTTGGATCCATTAGGAGCAAAAGTATTTTCATTGGCTGATCAAATTATGATTTTTTTCTGTGAATTTATTGATCTACCTAATGGCTAGTAAAAATCCTCCATTTCAAATTTTTTTGGAACCAAAAGCAAATTCCTCAAAAGGGTATTGTCTAAAGAACATCACTTGTAGTGAGAGATGAACTTAAACTAACATTTTGGTAAAATTTAGCAATGGCTGAAAGATGAAGTAGTAAAACAGTAAGAAGAAATATATAAGGGGCAGCTGCAGAAGCCGTGTAAGAAAATTTTCTTGAAAGCATGGAAAAACTAGAATAGATGCATGTTACATCTTATGTTATGCGGACTCTCCGAAACACTGTCGTACCTGTATCTGATTCTTCAAAAATACACTGCTTTTGGAGAATCCAATACACACTCGACCGTATTTTTGGAGTGTCCGAACAACATAGGTTACATCTATAAATTACAAAATATTGCATGGGCGCCATAGTAAAATGTTGAATAACTAATTGGCTATCACATTTAAAATGTAAAAGTTGAGGACATATGGGGTCTTTACTGTTTTACCTAAAAAAAATTTTAAAAGGCAAAATTGACGCACAAGGAATCCTCCTGGAGGTTTTTGTTTATTTATTATCAGAGAAAAGAGAAGAAGAAAAAAAGAATCTGGTTTTATTTTTAAAAGCAAGACTTCTGTCTCTTGGGGCAATCATTTAGGTTCCTAGTTAATACTGTAATAAATCTCCACTGTATTTGGGCCAAGTGTCCTACTGCTAATTTCTGCCAATTTCCAATTCTGTTAAAAGTATGGTTGTCCAATAGGCCGTGCCGGCCAGGTCCCGTCCCGGCTCACTTAGTTCTAAATGGGATGAGCCCATATTAAACGGTGCACGGGATAGGATGGGACGGGCTGCCTATTTCGTCCCGTTTATCCCGTCCAGTCCAGCCTGTCCCGCCTGAATTGTAATTTTTTTTTTGAAATAGAGCCATTGGGCAACGGCCTTGTTTGCAAATTTAGCAATTTCCAACGGCTATAAACGGCCAATCCCCCTTCCAACTTTTAATTTAACCCCTAAGTTTATTAATTTACACTTTGTCCCTATTTTAACTATAAATACCCCCATCCTTTTTTATTTTTTCCCCAAAAAATCAATCATTCCCTCTCAAATCTCTTACATTCTATCTATATTATTCTCTTAATTTTCTCACAATAAACTACTTTTCAAGTATTTAGACAAATTTTTAGAGCAACTTTCAAGCTTCAAATTAATTCGTCAAGTATTTGGAGTAATTTTTTGGGTAATTTCTTCAAGTTTCAATAATTAATCACGGTTCGCTCGTCCCATCTCCTAATTTTAATATTTAATTTTTGTGTTTACATTACGTGTTCTATTTTCGTATTTCATTAGTGTGTTTTATTTGTGCTAACTTTTCTTATTTAATTTCATATTTAAATTATGGCTCCTAAAGTGTATTTGGCATATTTAAAAAAAAATAGTAAAGGTAATAATATTAGTAATCCTAATCCTAATCCTTCTCCTAGAATAGAAAACATATAGATGAAATGACTCATATTGATGAAACTTCATTCCCCCCCCCCCCC